GGGGGGGGGGGGGGGGGGGGGGGGTGGTCTAGATCTAGACCAGTGTTCCCCAACCTTTTTGGGCCCGATGACTGGCAAATTTTCAAACAAATTTTTGCGTACCGGCGAAGTTTTAGAAAAGTTTTTCAGACTCAAAAAATTATGCTTGAAAGACTTTCATGGTAGGCATTAGAAAATTTTCTGTAAAAATTAAAATAAGAACCAATGAAGCAGGTATTGTAGTGGGATATCTTCAGAAAATCAGAAAGGTGGGCTTGGAAAAAGGTTTCTCAGAAAGTCAGAATGCAAATTGAAATAATTTATTCCCGCAAGTTAAAATGTGTCTGAAGTGTTATTACTAGGAGAAACGCCAGCTTGCATTTTTCATCAGATTATTTCTACTGTCATTGTCTTTCAGATATCTCAGATGAAGATAGGGCTCCATTGCTAATTTTTATAAATCAATCATGCTGAAGAAAATTTCCCGCGGACCGGCAAAAAACTTCTGCGGACCGGCGCCGGTCCGCGGACCACGGGTTGGGGAACACTTGTCTAGACTCTAAAATACCCCCAACACAAACTCCGTCTGTCGAGTACTGCAGCACCAATGAGAAAGTATGTCTACTATACGGCACGTCACATCTTGAAACACATTTTCAAAACAAAAGATAAATAATTATAGTAGATTAAAAAATTAATCTAAAAAACCAAGTTTTCAAAAAGCAAAAAATAACCTTAAACGTGGTGTGCATCTATTTCATTTGTATTTCACTTCTTCTCAACAATCTCCATGCGCACCACGTTTAAGGTTATTTTTTGCTTTTTTGACAGACAAGAAAGTGAGTTCATAAAAACGTGGTAATAAAAAGGTAAGAAAATGTGATGAAAGCTGGCAATACTTTATCACACGTACGCGATGTGCGCGAAATTTGATGCGAATCTCCGTCCCTAGACAGAAGTTGAAGAACGCGAATTGCAAAAAAGCTTTGCGCCTTTTTTTTTTTTTATAAAGCGTCACAAGACCTGAAGCCTCCAAATTTATGGAAGAATATACCAGCGAATGAGCGCTATCACTAGCAAATTTCTTCGATTTCATTCCTCTTTTTTTTTTTCTTGCTTCGTAATCATAGCTGTGAGTCGCAGCTCAAAAGAAAATAATAAAGTTTTGCATTGATTATCCGTGCCTCGGTCGACGATGAAGTCAATCAATTGTAACCCAAATCTGGGAACACTAACTAGACTGAACAGTCCGGGTCACCGGGCTCAACGGGATCACAAACAATTGCCTTTTCTTTGAATGATTTCGCAAATCGAGATCGTCTGGAAAACTCACTTTATTTTATTGAGTTGCTAAAATAACATTATGCAGGAATTTCGTGAAATAAAAAACAAATATTTTTTTCATCATCAGAGAGACAAAATCCCGTCAGCAAGCCGAATAATCGACGCGTCGATTACATAATCTTCTGATATGGGGAAAATACGGTATAACAGCATAGTTTTTCATGGGAGATTCAGATATTTCATAACTTTTAACAGCACCTTGAATAAACCACACATGCTACGAATTTAGAACTTGGATATACCGTAGCACCCAAACATCGAAGAAAATATAAAAAAAATCCCAGTTAAACCTTAAAACGTGGAGGGTCGGTTCAATATTTGACGAAATATTTCTTTACTCTTCCCCATATTCCTCAGTTGACAGAAATACAGAGGCTTATTTCAAGCGAAAGACGAACCAAAATAATCCATCTGCTTGACCAAATCATAAAGAGATTTTCAAGTACCTCCCCTTCTACGCAATACTTTACTACAGTATACTGTACTTTACTCATAATGGAAACTCGACACTCCGTGCAAGACAATACTTGAATTCATCAACTTCTGTACATTAATTAAAAAATCTGAAGTAGCCTTCTTATCTAAAAACAAAAAAAAGGACGCATAGGGGGGGGGGGGGGAATTCGCCTCCCGTCTGGGCAGAACTCGCATCGATTTGACACGTGTTT